TCATTTCCTCCCTTGCTCCTCTTTGCCCATTCAATACAAGCAAAGCAGCCTGACTTTCATACAGGTTTGCCAGATGTACCCCATCCTCATCTTGAACACATTCTTGCTCTCACTTTTGTCCTGGTTATTGGCTTTTCCCTCCTGCCTGCCTGCCAACAGGAAGCAAAGTATTTTTGTCCAAAGGGTTCACATACATCTTCTTAATTTCACTTAATTTCACCTAGACTAAAGGCTCCTGATAATTGAGTGAGCAATGAGGATAATTGAGGATGCATGAAACAATCTGGATACCCTTTTTCCAGCWTAAGAAGTTCTTAGCCCTGCAACCTTCTAAGGGGTTTGCAGATGGCCTGACAACAACTCCAGAGCAGGTTCGCTTTGGGGCTTACCACACTGAAAGGCCAGGATCAGCACAGCATCAGCAACTCCTGAGAGAGCCTCTGGAGAAAGGGTGGAGGAGCCATCAGGCCTGACAAGTGGCTCAGAATTCTGTCTCCCTCTATGAATCACACCTGTAAAGCGAGGGAGTTTCCTAATAAGTTGCCTAGAGATACTTTCATAACCAGGACTCAGAATCAGTGGCACAATTTTCTTAGGAATTGATCAATTGTGGGCAGAATTGGTCATGCTTTGAACTCAGCTATTTTTATTTAGTTCAGACCAGGTTTTCTGCCCTGTTTGTAGGGAAGGAGAAGAGGAGCCTGTTTTGCTTCTGTTCTAGTGGCTGAAGAGCTCTGTGCTCCCTCACATCCAGCCTTTCCTGCCTTCTCAGAATTTGGGGGCATTACAGGTACTTGATCTTCTCTGTCAACTGGCAAGTTTTCTGTTTCCTGAGGTTTAAGATATTTTATTTTGCCAAAGCACTTTATTTCGACTCCCCCGACTTCCTTGGCTGCAACAAATTAGAGGCAAGTCTGCACAGAGCGTGARTCTAATGTGGATTTAGGAGTTAAGCCAGTTAAGCCCGGTACYTTGGAAGAAAGCTGGCTCTTTTACTGACTGCCCAGTTCTTTAGTTTCTTTTCATGCTTGGGTTGGAAGGAAGTGTCCATGCAATCTTAGCATGGGACTGGGCACACAAGGGCTGTGTCCTGTGCAGAAGGCAGCTGGGGAGTATAAACACAGAGATACCCAGAAATTCAGCTGGACCACAGACCGGATTTGCTTTCCTATTGTTATTTTGCATTCACTTCATCCAAGGGGTGAATGATCCACTTTTATGGTGGCTTAAATAATGTGCTCGCCCCAGCTTCCACATAATTAATAAATGTAGCTCCACAAGTGGAGCTTTGCTCTGGTAACAGAGAACTGAGGGGAGATCCAGACACAGCGTGTTGTATTCACAGATGTGATGGGTAACAACTATGTACACACTGAACAGGACTTATCCTGTGCATGTAACCAGAACAGGCCAACATCTGTATTTTCAAGTAGTGCAGCAGGGCTTCCATCTACCAAGATAAGAACCATTTCTCATCACATACTATTTTTACCRCCCCTCGACTCTGAGCAAGTTTCCAGGAGGCATCTCAGAGGTACATTGCTCATACATGGTTATTGATTGATGATATCTGTTTGCTCTTTTGGAAAGTTTATCTAAAACAGCACTTTTATAAAAATGATTATTTTAAATTTGTTGATAACATTTTCCACTTGGAGAAAAGACACTAAGGTTTTTAACAATAACCATATAAATGTTTAGCAGTGAAAAAGTATTTTTTTCTTTCACTGAATCTGCATCCAAAGCACGATTCTTAAGTTATGGCCAAACGGCAGCAATAAGAAGAAGTTATAAAAGTTTGGTACTTGGGCATGTTTAATATTCCAAACCTTTTCAGAAACATGATCATTCATTTTTTCAGGGAATTCCATGTAGCTCACATTGATTCTGTGTCCCTGTGACTGCTTTGAGCCCAGGTGCCCTCTATCTCCTCCCTGAAAATACACAGGGCAAGTGAGAGCAGTTTTCCACTGCCAGACACTTTGGACTGTTCTGCTGGACTTTTGTAGGAAGATCAATAAAAAGATATTGCTTAAACAACTAAATATGTGTGTTCCTTTTCTTTCAGGTAAGCTGGAAGGCAGAGCCCATTTGGAGGATATCGAGGCATATGGGAGTGTTGCACTTAAGTAAGTGATAGTTGGTGACAGCCTATAGTTAGCCTATAGCCTTCTCTGTCCTGCTGAGCTAGCTCTGAGCTATTAGCTGGGGCTAATGTACTTGATGTTCCACATTTTAATTCATGGAACAAAATGAATACCCCAAAGTAATTCAGAATTAAGCCTGCTAGATACACCAAGTCCTGTAAAAGCCCCAGCTAGGGAAAAGGACCCTAGGAATTCCCTTTTCAATCATTTTTTCTTTAGCAAAGACTATCTGGGAGTGTTTTGAGGAAAACCCTTCTGGAAGTGTGTTGTCCAGACAGCCACGTATGTCATACATATGTGCATGTAGCTGTCCTAAGTAATGGATTTGGGAGGTGATCCATGAAACAGGTCAGGAAACCTTTATGGTAGGATAAATGCTGGCTGTGATGAAATGAAATTAAGAAAATGAATTTTAAACAGGGGAGGTATGGTATTAGCCAGCTGAGCCCAAATATTTCTCAACACTTAATGATGAGTTTGTGCTTTCAGGGTGAATGCAGATGGATCTAGTTATCTTCCTTTCAGTGTTTGTTTCATTTATCACTGCTGGATTATTGGTTTTATTTACTCTTGTATTTGCAATTTTTGATTGCAAGAATATCCAACTGCTGTGCTCAGCCCAAACTGCAATTGGCATGGAGTAAAAATGGGCCAGGCAACAGCACTTATCGTAGGGTAACAAAAAAGCAGGAAGACTCTTTGGCATGGAGCATCAGCCTAGAGCTGCTGTGCTGTGTCTGGTGTTATTGGCTGCTCTGGGAAGTCACACACCTGCTCCTACAGGAAAAGGTAATTCCACACTTACATAAGCATGGAACATAATGGAAACCTCTTTCTGTCACATATGAACAGCTTCACCGAGCAAGGAAAAGGATTTTCAGAATCACAGGGTCTTAAGCTGTAGCACCATGTCAGCCTGTTGAAAATGATGGGGTTTTAGTTGGGGAAGAACAATTTTGTTTACTAGCTACTGTGGAAATCTCCTGGTGGARCCCATTAATTTTAAATATTAAATAAGTAGAGATATTTCAGGTTTGACAGTGGAAAGCAAGGAGGGAAAAGAGTTGGAAAAAAAATCACAAAGAGCTCTTTAGCAGAGAGAGATTGTTCTCAGCTGTCTCTTTCCATCCTTTCTCTCTTGATCAAAAACTCCTTCAAAATTTAGTGAACACGCTGAAGACACCCCTCTCTCCTCGGAGTTTTCAGTTCACAAGTGCTGTAGGAGGCAGTTAGAGGAGACTCTACCCAGGGAAAGTGCTGCTGCTTTTCTCCATCTTCCCAGTGCCTTCTGCAAACTGTAAAATATCTAAGGGAGGAACAAGGAAGAGAAATACCAATGGAAATTCCCTCTTCCTGAGCAAGACCTGTGTTTGTAGATGATTGTTCTGTTTGCTTTAAGTTAAGCATTTGAATTGCAACATCACAGTGGGGTGTGTGTCCCTTGAGATACGAGACCCAGACCTACGAGAAATCGCTTTTCCCCATAGTACTAGAAGGAGGTCAGTTCTGGTTGATGCTTTTGGGAACAAAACCACCATCATATTTATACACTGATACATTTGGCTCAAGTTGTGGATTTTGATGACTGGGAGGTATAATTAGGCCACCTCACTGCAGTGTCTGACTTCTATCAGTATTAGAGACAGCATTTAGTAGGCAAAACAGGCTCGGACTGGGAAGGCACATATTAAAAGATAAGACAGTAATCACCATAGGCAAGAGCATATGGTAGAGCACTCTTAGATGAGTATATGTGTGGGGAGAGACAATAAGCCACCTTTTTAAAGTGTCATTTCAAACACTGAAACAGAAATCTTATGTCACCCCTTTTTTTTGTGGTTAAATTTTAAGACCATCAGCTTGTTTCATGATGTGATATCTTAGGCTGCATCAGTTTTAGTCTTACAGTGTTCAACTGCTAGTGTATATATATAAGCAGAGGTTACAGATCTTACCTGAAGGACGTGATAATCCTGCTATTGCCCCCTCTCCCCGTCCACGAAAAGGAGAGAGATCCAGGGCAGGAACATGAGTCTCAAGTGAGGATGAATATTCCAGACATGGATCTATGTAAGCAGTTGTGGAACCTTTCCTTGCAGTATTAGCAAAAATAAACTGTTTCCATGCTGGTGACCTGGACCACAAACACCTAGAGTATTTACAAAGAAAAGAGCCAAGTCATGCACTAAAGTGTTGTTTCTTGAAGAAACAATTTTTATTTGTTTCTGGAAAACTGCATACACATGTTCAGATCTGTTCAGCCTTCAAAACATGTCTTAGTTTCTGCCAAAGTTTAGAACATTTCTTTAAGCATGCAGGACCACACTGCAGCTTAATAAAGAAGTTAAGCTTTTTTAAAAATCCTCTATTTGTGCAAGCATTATTTGGGAGCTATTTACATTTTATACCTCTCACTTGTAATAACATTAGCATCTGCTGTTAGATACATGCACTGCATAGCTATAGCTTGCAATTTGGCATTGACATTTGATTTGGATGCAAAATGAAAAACGAAGAAAACAAACCTTGAATTATTGAGGAAACTTTCCCCAGGCAATTACAATAAATCTCATTTCTTCTTTGTAAAGCAGATCTTTGTATCAAAGTTTCATTAAAATGCTTCAGTTATTACCCCTGCAGTTATTAAAATATTACTTCCACTCTATATACCAGATCATCTTCCTCTGGAGCAACATGCACTTTGCTCGCCTCAGTGCATGGCAGCTAAGAGAAAAGAATTGTCAGTTATATCCAGGAGGGCAGGAGTGCAGTGAAATGCTCGCTTGTGTTTCTCTCCCTTGTTTTTAGTAAAATTTTACTATTGCAATTAGGACATTTAAACTTAGTGGCAGGAACTTGGATGCTAAAAATTCGATACAAGTTCATACCKCTTATTACTTTCTCCTCTAATTTCTTCCATCCATTAAAAACAAGTCAGTTACTAGACAGACATCAGTACTCAGTCATGCTGTATTTCTTTTGTGCTCCTTACATTCTCCAGTCTGTCCAAAAAAGCATGTTTTGCCATTGCACTGGTGGCAGTTGTGCATAATAAGCTAAATATCCCTCCTCACAGTCATCATTAACGGTCTTTGCTGTGTCATATATGCCAGTAGTAGAGTGAAGAAGATGTGCAAAACTACACTTTGAAAAACCATGCAATACTAGAATACCTGCCTTCCATTATGATTAAAAATGTTTCAGATGTGACAGAGCAGACATGCCCGCATTCAAGGGATTCACCATACATGAATATTTTTCTAAGAGTGAACCAGCTGAATATTAGGTGTTTCCTTCTGGATGCTGTGGTTCATTATCACTCATAAAAGTGCTTTATTTAACTGGCTCTGTGTAGTAGTCAGCATTACTCTGCTTGTCAGCTATGGCAATTAAGCAAGCCATGTTTTGTAAGAGACTACAGTATTTCCATAACCACAAAACTGCTTCAGAGCTCAAATAAATACACAGAACTGAGGAAGACTTTTCATTTCACAAGCTGCAAGCGYTGCTCGCTGCGGTGCAGGCAAGTTCAGTTCATGATGGAAACAGTACTTTCGGGCTGGCCTCCAAACATCTGGGAGAAGAACTCGAAAGCCAGGCGGACGTGGATGGGGATGAAGACGTAAGCGGTGTAGAGCACCATGGCAAGAACAGTCACGGTGATGGTGTGGAACATGGACTGCTCCCAGGGCTCCAGCACGTAGCTGCATGTGATGAGGAGGTACTGGAAGTAGAGCCAGTAGAAATAGTCCTTCACACGCTTAATATCCATCTTTAGATTCATTGATTTTGAGAAGGTAAACTGCAACGAGAAGCCAGGATTGCTGCTGCTGCTGCTGGAAAAAGAGAAACCCAGAAGTAAAAATGGTTATGGTGAATATTGTATCAAGTTCAATAGTACATGGTAAATAAAGTAAAGTTCAATTAGAAATACAGACCCATCACCAGCCTTTGCCCTCCTGGAGCAGAGGCAAACAGTGCTGAGCTTTGGGAACTGCTACCTGCAGACATTAAAGTGGTCCAGTTCTGGGCTCCCCAGTACAAGAGGGATGTGGAGCTGCTGRAGAGAGTCCAGCGCAGGGCTACCAGGATGATCAGAGGCCTGGAACATCCGCCGTATGAGCAAAGGCTGAGAGAGCTGGGYCTGTTCAGCCTGGAGAAGAGGAGGCTGAGGGGGGACCTGATCAGCGTGTATAAATACCTCAAGGGAGGCAGTGAGGAGGAGGGGGGCGGCCTCTTTTCAGTGGTGGGCAGGGATAGGACTAGAGGAAATGGCTTCAAACTGAAGCATCGGAAGTTCCACAGGAACTTAAGGAAGCATTTCTTCACTGTGAGGGTGACAAAGCACTGGAACAGGCTGCCCAGAGAGGTTGTGGAGTCTCCTTCTTTGGAGATCTTTAAAACCCGCTTGGATGCAGCCCTGTGCCACGTGCTCTAGGTGACCCTGCGTGAGCAGGGGGGTTGGACTCGATGACCTCTGAGGTCCCTTCCAACCTTCGGCATTCTATGATTCTATGATTCTATTAGTTGGGCACTCTACGTTCCTGCACTCTGATTATGAATGTTTTGTTACTCATCYGGCAGTAGCTGAGTAGCTTGAAAGAATTTCTTCCCTGTTAGTACCTCTCTACATTCATTGCTCCTGTCTTTGCACAGAGTGAAGCAGCTGAGCAGCTATTGCCTAGGAAATTGGTTTTACCTTCTACTGTTTCTTGTTAAAGCCGCTTTCCAATATTTTAGTCTTTACATTCAAGTTAGAAATACCAACTTTCAGAAAAAGAGATAAAATTATAAACAATAAGGATTTAGATTTCAAGTCAAACCATACTGGCCACATCAGCTCAGAAAAGAGAGTGCAGAAGGCAAAACAAATTACTTGTGGGGGAGCTACTCCTAGTTTGTTTGGCCGTCACATTAGGGCTTGTTTTGGTTGCTGATGCCTACGATTTTGCACTGTTAAGCGCAGACCCCTGGAGGAAGCCTGTTCCTCCATCCTTCTTCCTTTAGGTGCCTGCACAGGCAGCTGTGGAGCCTCAATGTTCCTCTGGCCAGTTGACTTTCCAGCACTACCAGCAAGGGAGCTGCCTCTGATCCTGGCTCCCCCTCCTTCACCCCGTGCTGGCTCCTTTCCCAGCATTTTTTCTTCCTTCCTCACATTTCCTATGCAGATCTCCTCGCATCTGTTCAGCACCTCTATAAAAACCACCTCGTTGGCTAGCAAGAAGCGCAGTGAAACTGTAAACACTGCTCAAAAAAAAAAAAAAAAAAAAAAAAAAAAACCAAAAAGCAGGAGGAGATTTCATATTGGGAGGTTTTTATGCAGAAATTTTATACCGAGATCCCTCACCCAGCCAGTACCACCAGCCTCTCAACCTCTACTCTGCCCTTTTCCCTCTTTTCCCACAATGTTGTGTTTTCAGCATTTCCTCTTCCCCTTTTGTCTCCTAGGCACCATCTAGCCAAGGAACTTGCTACAGTTTTTTGGAGGGCAGCTCACTTCAGTTTTAAATCAAGCAATGGCCATCGTAGCTTCACTTGTAAATATACAAGCTGGATAGAAAGAGCTGCCTTTGAGTTCTGTCCTGGTATTAATGGAAGATGATTCCTTTCAGTTAAGCTATTTTAGGGCAGAACTCAAGTGACCTTCAAGCTTTGACAATATTGTAAGACCTGCAGTAAGAATGGCAGAGCTGGCAAACCAAACTGTGACTCGCTGGGAGCCAAAAGGATCTCTTACAACTTCTGCAAAAAGGGCAGCGTTTCTCAATGAACAGGTTAAGCCCTTTGCTATATGACTGCCACTAAGCATATTGGGTCCTCTTATGCCAAGTGGGATTACAGTATTTACTCTGGGGTTTTACCTGAGCTAGATAAACACTTTTCTTGTGTAAGTAACTTAAGCCTGATGGCTGTGGTGGGAAACTACAAGGTTTAGTGCTTGGTGGCTGTGTGGGTGTAAAGGTACGAGGTTATCAAAGGCGACCTCAGGAAAGAGAGCTCAGCTTAACAGGGCTTTCTGCCTCAGCAGCACAGACCCTTGTAGTGGAAATGCAGAGCAGRCAGCCCTTCCCTGGGCTGCAGACCTGTCAAAGATGTCCCCCAGCTGAGGGCAGCCCACCAGGCTGCTCACTCACCGCTCTCCTTTGCTACATATCCTTATTTCAGAGACATGTAGATGAAGGATGAGGCAAATTAATGAGCAGACCTTTCTGTTTATACTTCCCAGTATTTTATGCAGACACAGATTGGGACTGCCTGGGGACTGCATTTCAGTCCAGCTCAGTCACAGCCTTCCTAGCAATGCTGCCCAAGTCCATAGCCGGTACCTTCTTCACTTCCCGTATTTACCATGCAAGGGGATAAGCTGATCCCCAGATACTCAGATACAAGTGTAATGGGACTCCTCAGAGCTCAGAGCCTAAATGCGAGCAGTCTTAGTCTGTGTGGTCTCCAAATGGGCAAGAAAGGTTGGGGTAARTCAGAGATAAACAGGCAGATTACAGTTTCAATCCTCCATTTAATCTCGGAAAAAACAAACACSATGGGCACCTCAGGTCAATGCAATTCTAGATACATAATTAAAGGAAAAAGTAGAGGGTAAGGAAAAAGAGCCATCTTAACTGACCCCCAGCCRGTGAGATAAGGCTCCCCTGTGGTGCTTTGCTGCAAGTGTCTATTCTTAAGCCATTCAATCTGCATTAATTGCAAATTTAAACATAGGTGATATGTATGTCCAGAGGCTTCACAAAAAGTTACCACCTAGTCCAGTTACAGTGTATTAAAAGGACAAGCAGATCACTTTTCAGGATAGAAAATYTGAATATTAAACAGGACTTGTCCTAGAGGCTTCCACTTGAATGTAAGATTTGCTGATATTTATTGCATTTTACTGCATTAATGCTGCAATTAGTTGGATCTCTGCGTTGAAAGGATCCTGCATAATTAGCTCAGTTTCCAATATTCAGAACAGGAGGAGATAAATCGTTGTTGCACAATCTTAGCTTATTATTTGTCTACAAATTTCAATTTAAGTATTCAGCTGCATTATGGAAATGCCTTCCTGTACAGAGGCCATGGAACAGTTACCGCCAGCTGTGCATGCAGTGAATAGAAATCAGCTTCTGAAGCTATTAGGCAACACTCAAATTATTTTCAGCAATTTCACCTCCAAGGGAAAAGGCAAGAAGAGCAACTTGTAAAGCAGCTTCTATTGTTTTAATTGGCAACCTGATATTCCTGACTGTTGACACATCTCCGATTACGGCACTTGGAGAGATAAATCACCAGCCATCCCTTCCTTCAAAAAAACTCCCCCCCAAAAAAAAAAAAAAACAAAAATCCCTAGAGTTTTCATTCAAGAGCATGCCTAATCTCAGGAAAAAAAAACAAAACAAAACAAAACTGCTTTGAATAACCATAATTCAGTGTGAAAACTAGTGTTTGGAACTGCAATGCCTAGAAGATGCCAACATTAGGTCCTTTGCGATACATTTCTGCTTTGAGTACCACTGTTTTGGGGCCATCACTTGTTGGCACTGCCTGCAGGTAGCTCTGGTGGCTGAACCCCCTGTGCACAGAGGGGGACATTCCTGCAGAGCAAAACATTCTTGCAATGTAACTGGCACAGACTGGTTCCCAAAGAATGCCTGAGAAACACCTTGCGCTCGCCCCGAGAGTGTGACTGCCCATACTGAGAAAAAAAAGGCTTCCAAAATATACTCACATCTACAAAACTGGATCTGTACTGGGCAAAAGCAAACCCTGGACCTGTAGATAGCACTGGAATCAGTAAATAGATGGTCTTTGAGGCCTTTGTATGTAGAATACCAGCAAATGAGAATAGTAATATCTTCATGTAAACTTAGCAGTGCTGTCCTCAAGTCAAGAAGGAAAAAGCAGCCAAGCTCAGTCCCAAGCATATCCATATGCGACCGAGTAGCTTGGCCATTGCTAAGTAGTGGCTGGAACACAGGTAGGTGCAAGCCTTGGTCAGGCTTGCACAGTCCTAACAGGCTGGAGTCACGGTGAAGCTTAAATAAAGCCATGGGATCTTAAAAAAATTAACAGGCAAACAAAACATGAGCCTGAGCCTCATGTTTTGACCTAATGATACCTAATATGTTATGTAAATAATGGTAACTATCAGAAATGCCTAGAGCTGTGCTTCTCAGATGCTGAATGCTGATCCTCCTTCAAATCATTTATCTAACACTTCTTAAACTTTTCTCTAATTTTATTGTCACAGACAGCTTGGTTCTGCTGTCATTTAGGCACTCTGTCCTGAATTCTCTGAGGACTTATCCTGTCCCTGTTAATGCAAACATAACTCTGGAATGAACCCATTGATCTAAATGGACTGACTTCTGAAAATGCAAACAAAATGCAAAGAGGATTCACATTCCCAGTCCATTGTGCCTTTGGTTTATTATGTTTTATTCAGTGGGCACCAGCATATAATAAATGATGGATCCTGTGCACCAGGGATGCTTGATCAGGGTGAGATGTGGCCGAGGCAGCAGCTAGGTCTGTGCTGAGCTTGCCAGCCATGCCCGGGGACAGCGTCTTGACCTGCTTTGGTGTCACCTCCTGCAACCTGGGTGCCCCTTGGCCACAGCAGCAGTTCAGCCTCCACAGCTGCCTATTGCCCTGCTGAGATGCAGGGCCCTCTGGTCACTGGAGTTCGTAGCACTCCCGTGTGTAAAACCTTGTTTTCCCAGGGAGGTAACATCAAACAAAGAATGTGCACGCAAAGAACAGCCCCAGTCCAGCACAGCGCCCAGTATGGGCATTTATGCACAAGTGAAAATGGCTTTGCAGGTGGATTAAAATAAACAAA